AGAGATTTATGCTCTCAATCCGATCCTGCATTAAAAAGACGTATCTCCAAGAATAATATGAGAATTAAAGTGTTTCCATAAATAAAAGGGGCCGAGGCCCATTACGAGTTCAAAACAAAGAGTGAAGAGAAGGAAAAATAAGCAGAGTTAGGGAACATTTATGGAAGGGGCTCAGGAACAGGCTCCCTCATCGCCGATGTGGAATTCGAAGTGGAAGCACCGTTCCCACCCTCAACTTCGGGTTCATTCGGGACACGTTTCCAAGGATTGTCATCATTTTCCTCGTCTTCCTCTTCACTATCAACAAGAGCTGCTTCAGTCGGGGCATTCACCGGTCCCTGAACTTGACCCTTAGCATGGAGGTACATCCGGAGCATTCGCGGGATCTCCGCGATACAGTCGAAGTTCCTCCACTCCCATTGAAAGGGGTCACTTTCCAAGGCTCTCACTTTCCTCTCCACTCGAGCAATACGAGCCTCGAGTGTTTGCCTCTTTAATCCCAGCCGCTGCCTCTCGTCGCACAAGCGGCGATGTTTGTCGACAACCTGTCACCAAAATGAGTAAATTAAAGTGAAAGGCATAAGATTTTGGTCAAGAGAGTCGAATTTTAACCTTGTCCATGAAGTCGTAAGCCTCTTTCTTTTCCCTCGAAGGGAAGTGGAACACAGCATGAGGAAAGAGAACGCCGGCCGGTTCGAAGCCATCGCCGGACAGGAACAAAGGACTGCCAGGATCGGTGGGGACCACAGTTACGTTTTCCATTGTTATAAAAATTATCGAGAGAATTTTGGAGTTCCTTGGAAAAATTTAGAGGTAAACTTGCCTCTACTTATAATAGGTCTAGGGTTTATCTCGAAACCGTAATTTAATGATGATAGTGTGCCCGAGTGGTTTAAACTGTTTTTGGAAATAGAGAAGCAGTTATTGCCTTAAAGGCGTGCGACTTTCCCTATTTCCAAGGAAGGGAAAGATCAACCGTCGCATTTAAGGCAAGAAGCCCATTAAGCACAAAAGTTTTCGAGGCCCAAGCCCAACAAATTCACCGAGTTGACTAAACCCGAAGTGGGGAACTCGTGTTAAGCCGAGCTCAGTTCTCGCATTCTAAGAGAAAGGCCTGATCAGCCTAAAAATCTCGAAAAACATAGCCACAAGGCCAAGAAATGTTAAAAAGCGGACTTTGCAAACCCGCATATAATTTTTAACCAAAACCCTCCTGGGATCATAACCTTAAAGAAAAAAGGTTTAAAAGCCTCCTCAGGCAAATATCTTGTTCAAAAGAAATTAACAGCAAAAAAGAAATAAGTTTCTAATAGGACAGGCCCCAATTTAAAAAGTGGACTCGGCCACTACGGGTCAGCAATCACTTCGGATTCCATTTCGGTTGTCAGGTCTTCACCGGCCTCCTTGGCTGAGGCTTGATCAGAGGAAGTTCCTTGTTCATTCCCCACGGTACAGTCATCTCCCGGAGTGACCTCCGGAGCAGCAGGGACTCCAGATGGAACGACGCTTTCCGTCTCACTTGGACCTATAAAAGACAGTTCGGGTCAAACAAAAGGAGAAGAAGAAGGTAGTACGCATCAGGAACCAGTGTTTACCTGCCCAGTCTAGACCTGATTCACTTAGGGGAGGAGATTCAGTGAAAAACTCCGCAAAATCCTGAGGGTTGAAGGACGAAGCGGGAAGAGCTGACAGACGATTTTTCTTTTCGGATAAACTAGACGACAGCTCGGATCTCTCTTTTGCTTCGGAGAAATCGTCGTCGTGAATTTGATCCAGCAAGATTAGGTTGCTTTCGTGCTCCTTGATGTCTGATTCCAGATCTGATTTAACCTTCTCAGTTTGAATAAACCGGATGGCCCCTTGAATCAACTCCATCCCTCGTCCCTTTACCTCTTTTCTGGCTTTCGACGCCGACCTTGCCAACTCGGAATCACGCAACTTGGTAATCGCGTTGTACTTCGCGCGAAGTTCAATGAGTTGATTATTTAGGGCATCGGCGGATGATTCGGATTCATGAAGTCTACCCTGAACACCAGAAAGCTCGTTCTGTAGTTGGTAATTCTGGTCGTACTGATCCTTCAGCTCCCCCTTTACCTTCTCAAGCTCAGATTTGAGGCCGTCTACTTGATCTTCCAGTTGTTGCTTAGAGCCCGAAGATGATTGAAGGTCGGACTCAAGAGTAGTAAACTTGCCTCTCCATAATTCAATCTCCTGTTGCTGACTGAGTAACAACCCTTCATAGTGTTCGATCATGTCGTTGAGTTCGCTGTTCGCCTGGCATTTTGTATAAATTCGAAATGATGAACCAGGTGGAAAATTAACATAAAAGGGAGAATGAAGTAAGACTAACCCGAGATGAGTGATGCGCATGAAGCAAATAGCGTTCGCGAATTGCAGAACGCCACTTGTCGAACTCCGGCAGAATTAGACCCGACCGAGTCTTAAAGCACCGAAAGACGCTACCTTCTTTCTCCATAGCTGTGAAGGAAGAAGAAGGAATTGTAATATTTTGAATCAAGATGAAGTGAAAACCCTTAAGAATGCGCGAATCGTTACCTGTAAGCGATCTGATTTGGGGGACAAGAGCAGGTTTTGACTTCGGAGAAGCATCTTGAGAACCAGAACCTTCCTTCTGAGGAGATATGCTCCGAGTGGTCTTCTCGCCATCATGATCGGGAAGAGAAGACATGTCAACCGGAGCAGGAGGACCCATTGTTTTAGATGGAGGAGACAAACGTGGCGAACGGTCCGTCCGGGCCCTCGATTTTTCCCTATGCGGAGAGGAATCGCTGCGAGATGGCCTGTCTCTTTTCTTACGAATCAAATCCTTAAGTGGTGCGCTGCTAAAGTCATCTCGGGGAGGTCGAGGGGAACCACGACGAGGAGAACGATCATTACGACGTTCACGACGAGGTGTTAATCTGTAAGCAATGACAGATCTAGTCCCCTCGGTGCTGTTGTCGTCAACCAGTAAAGTCCTGCTGTAGTCCTTCTTGTCAATGGCGGCCGCAAGGAGTGCCTTGTTTTCATCACAAGCCTCCGCTATCGGCTTGGAGAGCTTCTTACGCTGGGCAGCAAGGGCCCGAGCTGACAATCCTTGAGTTGAAGGAGGAGGCGGTAGACGATGAAGGTGATTGGGCAGACTCATCCTGAGTTTTCGATTGGCTTCGATGAACCGATCGAGAGTAAAGGAATTCCAAAGGGTTTCCCCTCTAAGGATTGTCTTGAAGAAATTGACGAATTCCTCAGTTGGGAGAATTGGAGCAATGAAGGCTGCAAAAACAAAACAACAAGTTTGATTAGCGAAATAATAGGATGATTGGGAAAGTATCTGTGACCTATTTTCTACCAGGCTTTGCGGACCACTTCGATGGAAGTACATCGGAAAGACTTCCAATCGAAGCGGGAGTTTTCTTAATCAGAAACCAAGGATGGTGCCAGCTTTCATCCTTGTTCGGGAGATGCGAAATGATGTTCCTATTAGCATTCGGGTACGCCGAAAAGTACCCCGCTTTCTTCGATGAACTTCTCACACTTAGAAGTTCATTCAGCTCGGGAACCCCAATAATGTAGCCAGCTTCCGCCGCAACGGTTATGATTCCAAGGATGGTTCGGAGGAGATTGGGGGTTAGCTGAGGCAAAGCGATCTCAAGGGCCGCCAGGTACCGAACTAGGGCTTCGGGAAGAGGGAAGGTCAATCCACAGCCCTTGAAGTAGATTTCGTAAACACAAAAGTAGCCGTCGCGGTGGTTTTCTGGGGATTCCGTAGGATCGGCTATTTGAGATTCTGCTATAATTCCAGGGGGAATCTGGCAAAGCCCCTTTAATCTTTCTAGGGATTGAAGGGTACAGGTGGATCTATAATGTGGACCAGCAATATCGTTAGGACGAGTGCATTCGTCGTTGCTAGGACGTCTCTCATCGTAAGACGGAGATTCGGGTCTGTCGGAATCAGAAGTCATCGGGAAGAACGGAAAATTCAAGTTTCAAGGAAAAGAAAATTCGGCGAAGGAGACAGAGAAACTTAGCGAGAAAAGCAAAGAAATGTTTACCAAAAGATAAGAGTGAAAAAGAGGTTACCTCACACTAAGCTAAGTGGTAATGATGGAACCGCCTCGGAAGACGTGGAGGAAGTGGAAAGGTTTTCCCCGTTTTAATAGTAAATAATTAAGATACGGTCTTGATGATGACAGATGTCACGCGATCAAATATGGGTAATACCGAAATTAAAGGACTGACGAAATCTTGGCGGGAAAATCAGACGATCCCTCAAGCGCAATCTCTGGTCATCAAAACATTAAAGTCCTCCGAACTGGAATAATCACTTCGAAAGACTTGGGGGGCTAATTGTTGGTGTCGGATCCCGCACCAGTGGACCGGGACCAACCAAAGATTGCCACGTAATCAAGATGAAGGCCCGCAAAGGATAAGGCCCATTAAGCCCATGGATCACAAGATATAATCGAAGTGGGCATCACCATAAAGAGAGCCCGGAGTGGTCACACCTCGGGATATGACTCGGAATCGAAGTCGGATGACTTGGGCCAAAAGGCGAAGCCCATGAAGATCGGAGTCAATTCAAATTCAAACGTTGGGCATTAAAACTCGAAGACCAAAACGGACGCATTTAAGAGAGAATAATTATGTTTAATTGAGAGTTAAATGTCGTTTGTCAATATAAATAAGAGGGCTAATAGCCATGTAAAGCATACGCAATTTTTCTAGCAAATACACTATAATCATTTTCCATTTCAATTCATAGCTTTTTCATCATATTTTTGTCCTCAAGAATAATCATTCCCACTAATTAAACAAATATTCAAGTGTGCGAATCCGACATCCACAATGAACCCTACATGTTTCGTACAAACAAAAAAATCAAACAAGTGAACCCTAAATAGATGAGAATAGATTCAATATTCTACTCCATCTTTATCGACATAGGATTTGACTCAAATTCTCTTTGATTCCATCGCATATTCAGTTGAATACAAGTTTCTGAAGCTCACTAAAGTTTATAAAAAAATAAGAAGTCATTCTTTGCTTTTGTCACGTGGGTATAATTGAAAGAATTATACTATTGAAAGGAATTGTACCCGTAAATGGAGTCACTTGGGTTGATACAATGGATAGTTGATGAACTGATTCACGTCTTGTGCTCTCTTAAGGTGTGCTTTGTACATGTTGAGAAAGATAGACTCAGTCAACAGGAGCATAGCAAGGCAGAATCTTTTCCACTGAATCTCTATCAGTATTTCTCAATATCTCTAAGAGCTCATCAGATGTGTGTTGCTGCTTGGTGTTTGCCCAACCATAGCGATTATGCTCCAAATTTTCATCACCTTCCTGTGGAGAACACTTCAATCCAGTAACCATATGAAATTCTCTAATAGAGAATTCCATAGGTTGGCCTCCAAAATGAAACCACAATTCCTTCTCCTTCACTGTCGTTAAGCTTCTAGCCAACAAACAATGGATCAACTTGCCTGAAAAATTTAATCCCCTTGCTGTAGCCTTCAAAACTGGTCCTAAAAACGAGTCTCTGATTCTCTGAAACTCTGTAGCAGAGAGGATGCATTGTACTTCATCGATATACTCGTATCTGGCACATTGATTTATCTTAACATCTGAATTTGGCTCATGTCCTATATTGTACAGAAGCTTTGGCAGTGTGACATCAGTTCGAAACGAATCTCCCATTTTCCTGCAATTAAAATTAAAGGAAATCAATAAAGAGATGTATTCAGGGAAGACCTTCCCAAATCAAGAAGACCATCCCGAATTACTATAACTCCTTCCCGAATTACTATAAATCCTTAGTGAGCAATGAAACCAGAATCACATTGTGAGAATCAATGAAAAAGATCAATACACAACACCAAAGTCAAAACCACAAAACCAAAAAGAAATTAACAAAGACGTATATCTTCATTCTAGAATGCAAACTAAAACAACTCTATCAAGCAAAGAGAACAGACAATGACAACACAGAAACAAGTAAAGATTGTTTATTCATATCTTCATATCACAAACTTGAATCTATAACTATGTGACGATATATCTCTCAAATTGTGACAAAAACTAAACCCATCTAAAGTGATAAACTAATCCTATGCATGCAAACTACGATTCACAAGCTATCTAAGAGAAGCTAAGGTTAACAAAAGAGAGTCTTAAATAGACGAATCTCTAATCAAAAAACACAACCATATATCATTCACCAACAAACGCAATTTAAAAAAAAAAATCACTTCCAATCCATAAGCATCATCAAATTTCGATATGTATACACAGTTTAGCTAACAATTAAACACTTAAAACCCCTTCAATCACCATCTAATGAAAACACCCAATTTTTTACTAGCTAGGTCTCAATAAGAAGGATTCAAACACCAATCGATTCAAATCACCAAAAAGAAGAGAAATTGAAATACAAGAAGAGATAATAAGAACTTACAGGGAAACCCTAGATAAAGATGAAGCAGAGAGAAAAGAGGAGAATCAGTGAAAATCGGGTTGGCGAAACAGAGAGGAAACCGAGAGTTGGCGAAACAGAGAGGAAACCGTGAAGAACTAGCGAAACAGAGAGGAAACCGTGAAGGAATTCCGGAAGAGGCGTTCGAGATTCCGGCGGAGGCGAGATCGGGAAGGCCAGAGATCGTTGGTTGTCAAAGATGAGAGAAGACAAGACTCGAATTAGGGTAGTCTCTTTTTCAAATTTTCTATTTTTTAATTAATGTTTAATTAAAAACTTTTGGGTGCTATTTCAGAAAATTATGAAATATGGGGCTATTTTTGGAAGAAAAAAACTTTTTTGGAGTCATTTGTGTCAATTGCCCTTAAAACTTTAAACCAAATTAATTTCACACTAAACCGGGATTGAACCGACATATCCACATGACTTTGATTGAGTCTTCCAATATTCTTTCTCTCTGACTTGTGGTTTCCTGAAACCTTCCTCACACTCAAATGTTTTGTTCTTCTTAATCACAATTTCAGAATTGGTCTTTTAGGGTTAAGAATTTGGGATTGTGAATTATAAAGCCATGGACTTCCGAAGAAGAAGGGTTCAATTTATTCTCTTTGCTATCGGATTAATCGCTCTTAGTATGACAGGTACTTTAATTTTGTTTCCACAAAAGTTTCTTCTTTCACCATAACTTTCGCGTTTGTCTTTTTTGGATAATTCATACAAATTCAATCAAGGGTTTTGGATTTTTACTTTAGGGTAGTTGTAAATGTATCGCCTTTTTAGGAATCTGTTAGTAGAAGTTCTAAACTCGATTTGGGATCTCGATTTGGTTCTAATACACTTTCTTTGATCTGATTAGTAGAAAAATAAAGTTTAATTCATCATTAGATTTGTATAAAGATGGAAGTTTTGGTCACTAAGATGAGATTAATGACTATAATTGACATGTTCAACACTTCATAGCGTAATGAGTAATGACTATAATTGAATTGATGAACTTATTAGTTGTTAGATGTTCAAATTGCTTAATGTCCTTTTCTTGGAACCTCTGTGTTGCTTACTCATGCTGATCATATATGGATGATCTCGAATTCGCGATTTTAGCTCTTTTTTTCGGTTGCTATGCTGCATAGCATGTTATGCTTGTTAACAGCTATGTTCTCATACCAGGCTCATGGCGATATCGTAGCCGTAGTTAAAATGTTTGTACACAGCCATTTCAGCTTTCTCTTCTCGTTTATTTTGCTATGGTTTTTGAACTTTCCATGTTTCTGATACTTTTTGTATACATAATTGTGGTTTTTGATTTTTCTTTGACATGCTTTAGGACTAAACTCTATTACTTGTGGGTTGCTCGTTTAAATGGGATGTCTGAATATCTTTTATGTTCTTTGTTGCATATGGTAAACAGCTGAAAAATGTCGGGAACTTGTTGGACAAGAAGCTGCATCAAAGAGTGGACAGTTTACGTTCTTGAATTGCTTTGATATGAGTTCAGGAACTTTAGCCTGTGCAGTTAAAGAAGGTGTGAAGCTTTATTTCTACAATATAAGATCTATTCATGTAGAGAAAGCCAGGAACGTCGCTATCGAGAAAGCCTTGCATGAGGCGTTGGTAAATGGCATGCCTGCAAAAGAAGCAGCTAAAGAGGTGCAGAGAGCAGGTGAAAAAGCGGCTAAACTGGCGAGTAGGCAGGCTAAACGTATCATAGGACCAATAGTAGCAGCCGGGTGGGATTTCTTTGAAGCGCTTTACTTTGGAGGGACTTTAACTGAAGGGTTCTTGCGTGGTTCTGGAACTATGGTTGGTGCTTACTCAGGAGGGTATGTGGGTGAGCAGAGATTTGGTAGATTCGGTTATCTTGTGGGAAGTACCTTGGGGAATTGGGTTGGCGCACGGGTTGGACTGATGGTTTATGATGTTGTGAATGGGGTAAACTTCTTCCTAGAGTCTTATCAATCTGGAGAAATTTATAAGGATCAGTCTACATATGAAAGTCCTGAGGATCAGTCTACATTTGAAAGTCCTAAGGATCAGTCTACATATGAAAGTCCTGAGAATCAGTCTACATTTGAAAGTCCTGAGGATCAGTCTACATATGAAAGTCCCGAGGGTACTTCTGAGGACCGGGCTACATATGAAACTTCTGAGGACCAGTCTACATATGAAAGTCCTGAGGATCAGTCTACATATGAAACTTCTGAGGTTCAGTCTACATATGAAACTTCAAGCGACGAGCTCTAGATGCTTCATGTAATAAACGGATTTCTGGATTGAAAATGACCTAAGAAACTTTTGAAGACAAGTCAGAAAGAAATTGGAAAGCTTTAGAAGATTTTGGAATATTTCTTTCCGATACATTTGACATAGTTGTATAGACTAAAAGAGTTTCGACAGGATCAATTTGTTGATGGATGCCTAAAATATTTAAGTTACATTTGTTCTATTGTACAAATTGGTTGTTTCATTTCATATTATTTTTTATGTTGGTTTTCTCGAATGTTTAAATGTTAGGTCTTGCCTCTTATCTTTCTTACAAGGTGTAGACTGTAGAGGCAGCCCGTAGGTCCGCTGGGCTAAGCTCCGGGAACCAGATTTGTAAGTTATAGCCCACAAAATTCGAAGTCCAAGATCTTTTTTTAAATAATGTTTTTCAGTCGAAAACAATAGGTTTTTGTGAGGTAATAACTATTTATGTAGGGGACATATATTCTAATTATTATTTTTTAAATTGTATCTCTCACGTTCCTATTTTTTTATCATTTAGTTTTAAAATTAAATAAAATTCTAATTCTAAACAAAAAAAATAATATAATATATATATATATCTTATTACTACAAACTATATAAAAATCTACATTTTTTTTCTTTTGCTCCGAACCATCAATTTTGTTCGAATCCTTGATAAGTGGTGTAAAAAAAAAGACATTACCTTATGAAATGGTTGATCTCACCTCACCTAAGCCAACCAAAAGGAGATTTTAGCAAATGAATTTAATCTTAATTGAATAGAAAATTGATTTTTTACCAATATCAAAAGAGTCAAATATCGAACCATGTTGGGTTTGACTTGGTTTCTGTTCTGTTTTAAGTTTTGAATAAACTCCTATTGTTAAGGAGTCAAGGAGTTGTCCTCCGAGTATTTAGTTTCAGTTAGTAGTGGTTCCTACTCTTTTGCTTCAAGTAATTGTAGAAGACAGAGTCATCATCTTAAGGCTATTTAAAGCCATCTCTTTTATCTCAATAAAGTATCATTCAGTTTCTTTGTTTTGTCTCTGAGATCAACAAATTTGGTATCAGAGCTTAAATTCTGGGTAAAAGGGAAACACGAGTGATCAAGAGAGAAAACACGGGTGAGAGTTTGAGAGAGAGAATGGGAGATTCAAGCAATTTTGCTCAGCCGAGCATACTTAGATTTGACGGTGATTAGGATCACTGGAGCTTACTCATGGAGAATTTGCTGAGATCAAAAGAATACTTTGGTGTGGTTCAAAAGGGTGTAGCAGAGCCGACGAGCGAGGAAACGCTGTCGGAGGTGGAGAAGAAGGCTCTTGCCGAGGCAAGACTTAAAGATCTTAAAGCGAAGAACTACCTTTTCAGTGCAATCGACAAATCAATCCTCCAGACGATCACTTTGAAGGATACTTCTAAGCAACTGTGGGATTCAATGAAGACGAAGTACCAAGGCAACTCAAGAGTGAAGCGTGCTCAATTGCAGACGCTTAGAAGAAATTTTGAGCTATTGGAGATGAAGAATGGAGAAACAATCTCAGATTATTTCTCAAGAGTGATGATGGTGGCGAATGATATGAGAAACTGTGGAGATGACATGCAAGATGTCAAGATCGTGGAGAAAATTCTGCGTACACTTTCTGAGAGTTTCAACTACATAGTGTGTTCAATCGAAGAATTCAAAGACATTGACAATCTTTCGGTGGATGCACTACAAAGCCCTCTTTTGGTGCACGATTAGAAGATGAGAAAACCAAACAGAGGAGTAGAAGAACATGTGTTGAACGTTTCTTATGGAGATAGGAACGGTAGAGGCAGAGGAAGAGGGACCGGACAAGGAAGAGGAAGAGGAAGGTCTTTCAACAAAGCAACAGTGGAATGCTTTAAGTGCCACAAACTTGGACATTTTCAGTATGAGTGTCCAAATTTGAATGGTAGAGCTAACTTTGCTGAGACAAAAGGATAAGAACCTGAGCCTGATGTTTTGTTGATGGCCTTCACAGAAGAAAATGGAGGAAAAGAGGAGGCATGGTATTTTGATTCTGGTTGCAGCAACCATATGTGCGGAAACAAATCATGGTCTTCGAACCTTGATGAAGGTTTTCGGCATACGGTAAAGCTAGGTAACAACTCTCCTTTGACGGTGACAGGAAAAGGAAGTGTGAATCTAAGAGTAGATGGAAGACTACACATAATCACTGATGTGTATTTTGTACCGGATCTGGCGAGCAATCTGATAAGCGTTGGACAGCTTCTTGAGAAAGGATGTGAGTTTTTGATCAAACAAGGAGAATGCAAAGTCTATCATTCAGAGTTGGGCCTCATTTTACAGATGAAGATGACAACGAACAAGCTGTTCAAGATCATGGCTACCAAAAATGGCATGAATCTTGCATCCGAGTGTCTTCAAACCACTGCAACAAATGAGCTTCAACTGTGGCATCGCAGGTACGGTCATCTGAATTACAAAAGGTCTAAAGATGCTGCAACAACAGAATATGGTGAGAGGACTGTCACAAATGAAGACGTCAGAGGAAGCAGAAAAGTGTGTCAGTTGCTTGGTAGGGAAACAACATCGTGAAAGCATTCCAAAGAAGAGTGTATGGAGATCATCACGTAGATTGCAGCTGATACACTCAGACCTTTGCAGACCTATTTATCCAGCCTCAACTAGCGACAAGAGATACATTCTCACGTTCATTGACGACTACAGCAGAAAGGTTTGGGTTTACTTCCTATCAAATAAATCAGAGACTTTTGTGCTGTTCACAAAGTTTAAAAACCAGATGGAGAGAGAGACGGGAGAGTCGCTGGTTTGTCTAAGAACAGACAGAGGAGGAGAGTACATGTCAAACGAATTCATACAGTTCTGCGAGGAGGCAGGGATAAGCAGGCAATTGACAACAGCTTTCACACCGCAACAAAACGGAGTAGCTGAGCGGAAGAATCGAACCATTATGGAGATGGTGAGAAGCATCTTAAATGAAAAAGGTGTACCGCAACGATTTTGGCCGGAAGCAGTGATATGGGCCGTTCATGTTCTCAATCGTAGTCCAACGTCAGTGTTAAAAGATAAAACGCCTGAAGAGATGTGGAGTGGGGTGAAACCAACAGTGGACTATTTCAGAGTATTTGGGTGCTTGGCACATGTTCACGTCCCGGATCAAAAGAGGAAGAAGTTAGACGACAAAAGCATAATGTGTGTGCTAATTGGAGTAAGCAAAGAATCGAAAGGATATCGATTATACAATCCAGCCACAGAGAAGGTGGTGACAAGCCGAGATGTTGTTTTTGAAGAAGAGAAGGGATGGAACTGGGAAAAGAAAGTCTCAAAAATTAATGATGAGAAGCTGGTTTGGGATGATTGTGAGTTAGACATGGAGCAAAATGAAGATGGAACAGTTCAAATTCTGGAAGAAGAGAATCGTGTAGAAGAAAGTACAGAGAGAAGGCCAGAAGAAACTGTGTCCAGCTCCCAATCTCAGATTCCGAGAATTTTCCCAGAAATTCCAAGAATTAGAAGACCACCAACCTATCTCAAAGATTACGATACTAGAGAAGAAGAAGAAGAAGAGGAAGAAGAAGAAGAAGATACAGTCAACTTTCTCATGTTTGCTGCGGTTGCCGATCCACTCACATTCAAGGAAGCTAATGAAGAGGAGAAATGGATCAAAGCCATGAATGCTGAGCTAGAGTCCATAGAGAAGAATGGGACATGGTGTCTCATGGAGCTACCAAAAGGGGCAAAGAAGATTGGTGTAAAATGGGTATATAAAACCAAACTCAATGAGAAAGGAGAAGTAGACAAATACAAGGCCCGACTTGTAGCCAAAGGCTATGCGCAGCGAGAAGGTGTGGACTACAATGAGGTTTTTGCTCCGGTTGCTAGATGGGACACAATACGGATGATATTAGCATTGGCAGCTCAAGAGGATTGGTGTGTCTATCAATTAGATGTGAAAAGCGCCTTTCTACACGGTGAATTATCAAAAGACGTCTATGTGGAGAAGCCGGAAGGATACGTAAAGAAAGGAGAAGAGCAGAAGGTTTACAAGCTCATAAAGGCTCTTTACGGTTTGAAGCAGGCTCCTCGTGCGTGGTACAGCCGAATTGAAGCATACTTTGCTAAGGAAGGGTTTCAAAGATGCGAGTATGAGCACACACTGTTCGTAAAAACCGGTGAAGGTAACAAGATTCTCATTGTCAATTTATATGTGGATGACTTGATCTTTACGGGAAATGATGAAGAAATGCTTGCAAAGTTCAAATCATCCATGAAGAAGGAGTTTGATATGACTGATTTGGGAAGAATGAAGTATTTCTTAGGAGTTGAGGTGATTCAAGATGCAGAGGGAATCTTTATTCATCAAAAGAAATATGCTGGAGAAATCTTGGAAAGGTTCAACCTGCAATGTGGAAATGAAGTTAAGAATCCGATGGTTCCGGGGACAAGGCTTTCAAAGGGAGGAGATGGAAACAAGGTGGATCCAACTCTGTACAAGCAGCTGATCGGGAGTTTAATGTATATTACATCAACAAGGCCGGATTTAATGTATGTGGTGTGCTTGTTGAGTAGGTACATGGCAGATCCTTACGATCAACATTTACAGGCAGCAAAAAGAATGCTTCGATACATAAAAGGCACTTTGGGTTTTGGTGTGTTTTACAAGAGAGGAGTTGTTGGTGATCTCACTGTGTACACGAACAGCGACTATGCAGGAGATATTGATGATAGGAGGAGTACAAGTGGGTATGCGTTTTTGCTGGGAGGAGGAGCTGTAGCTTGGGCGTCGAAAAAATAGCCTGTGGTAACACTGTCCACAACAGAGGCTGAGTTCGTAGCAGCAGCATATTGCGCATGTCAATGTGTTTGGATGAGAAGGATCCTAGAAGAGTTTGGGTTGGAGCAGTCTGGAAGTACCACTATCATGTGTGACAACAGGTCAGCGATTAAGTTGTCAAAGAATCATGTTCTTCACGGTCGAAGCAAGCATATCGATGTCAGATTTCATTTCTTGAGGGATCTTACTAAAGATGGTGTTATTAAGCTTGTTCACTGTGGAACAAATGAACAGGTTGCAGACATTTTAACTAAGCCACTACGATTGGAGGTCTTTGTTCGATTAAGGGAGAAGCTTGGAGTTTGCAACAGGATAAACTGAATTCTACCGATTTCAGTTTAGGAGAGGCATTGTTGGGTTTGACTTGGTTTCTGTTCTGTTTTAAGTTTTGAATAAACTCCTATTGTTAAGGAGTCAAGGAGTTGTCCTCCGAGTATTTAGTTTCAGTTAGTAGTGGTTCCTACTCTTTTGCTCCAAGTAATTGTAGAAGACATAATCTTCATCTTAAAGCTATTTAAAGCCATCTCTTTTATCTCAACAAAGTATCATTCAGTTTGTTTGTTTTGTCTCTGAGATCAACAAACCATTC